ACCAAGCACAGGGGAGAATTTTTTGTATTAGCCTAGTCATAGCCCACCAAGCAAAGCCAGTGGCGTTGGGTGAACTTCTGATCTAGTAAAGTTACTTGACAAAACATGCCTTCAAGAGACGCACATTATATAAGAATTTTAATTAGTTCTATTAAAATTATTTTTCCCCTTTTTTTCTTCTTTTTTTTGAAAAAGAAAATAAGAGGTGGTGTTAACAAAATTTAAAATTCAAATATCAGCGCTCCATTGCTGGTCAGGCATCTGGCATGGCTTGTTAGGCATCAGGCATGGCTTGTTAGGCATCAGGCATGTCTTTTTAGACATTGTAAAAAGTTAGAAGTAGGATTTTTAAAAAAATATGAGTAATTTAAAAATTCCCTGGACATTATATTTGAATTTAATTGGTGACGAGCTAATTTATCAATAATGCTTTGCCTTTTCACAACAGACACTGGTAGTTAATGCTTTAATCATTTAGTTTGTCAAGGAAGCATATTGTTAATAATTGAACTATTCTAGAACTTTATCATTTTCATTCATAACACACAAAAATCACACTCTCATTTAGAATGAAAATCATCATAGATAAATCAAACCATTTAGTTAAAATTAAGTTGTTGTTTTTTTTCCTCCTCTCAAATTCAATATTATAAGTTTTTCAACAAGATTCCTTTGAGTAACAGACATAATAGTGGCATGACAAGTGCAGCATATACATCAACAAATAAAGAGTTTAAACAACACAGGTAATGGATAAACATATTTTGTTTGTATCTTTTGTATTCATAATAGCATTGTATTCATAAAAAAAAGGTTAAAATTTGTGTCCGAAAGTTACATATTTGTATCCAGGAATTTTTCTTTTTAAAGAAAAAAAAATTACTTCCTAAAAAGGTGAATAAACTGTTTTGTTTTATTTTTATTTTGCTTTTTGAATTCAATAAAATTTTAATGTCTATGTTTTTTTTTTTTAAATTGTTGATTTATTCCATTTCTCTGTTAATTATTACCTCAAAACCAGTTTATCTGCACGAACCCATGTCCCAAACTGTAATAATCATGGTAAAGAGCAGAGGCTTTAGTGAAGTATTCAAGGCTGTACATGGTTTCAATTTTAATTTTCATAATGAGAGTAAAATGAGAACAAAATGCGCTTTTTTTTTTTAAAGAAGGATTATCTAATATGGATTTAAATAATATTTAAAAATTTAATGTTGAAAACCAACTGTAGACTTTATTTTTTTCTTAATACCAATTAAGAATTTTGTGAATGCTAAAAATATTACTTTAATCACTCAAAAACAATATTTTTCATGTAGCCAAATAAAAATATTTTTCAGTTAAAATGTGGTTTTCTAGAGGGATAATAGTGTTTTGGTTCAAACAAAGGAAATACAAACTAGAGAGTTTATTTTTAACAAAATTTTTTAAAAGATTTCCTGATATTAATAATATAATTTATGTATTTTTAATGTTTAAAATTATAAGGTAATAATTAAGGTCTTTTTATTTACTCATTTTTTTAAAGTATAAACTTTATTTTAAGTTGTAAAAAAACTCAAAACCTCATGAAATAGAGCTTTTTTTTTTCCCCCTTAAAATGTCAAAAACCATCAAAATCTTTGTTTAAGCAAAGACCAAAGTGCACAAGGGTAGGAAAGATAACTGTACATTCAAGAGGGGAAACAAAAATACAGTAGTTTCTTAATTAAAAATTCATACCAAAAAAAATACAGATTTTATACTGTCACACTAATTACAACCAGTCTTCATCACAGATACATAAATATTCCTCATTGGTCAGCAATTAATCAGTTGAAATTAAGAAGCAAGTTGATTGGTCGAATCGGGGATACAGTGTCTTTTAAGGATATTTACATGGTACAACAAGAGGACAACAATGAAAAAATCACAATGTTAGTTGGCAAGTCAAGCGTGTTGTTACCATAGCAACAACAGTATAAAGAAATGACAGTCATTTCCTTTTTTTTTTTTTTGTCCAAAAAAATGTTTTTAAAAAAGTTCATGTAATTATTGCGCAAAATCTATTTACAAAATGTGGATGATTATTTCTTAAAATACCATGAAATAAATTACAAATGTTTAGAAAATGTTTTTATGCAAAATCATAATAAAAAAAAGTATAAAGATATGACAGTCATTTCCTTTTTTTTTTTTTTGTCCAAAAAAATGTTTTTAAAAAAGTTCATGTAATGATTGCGCAAAATCTATTTACAAAATGTGGATGATTATTTCTTAAAATACCATGAAATAAATTACAAATGTTTAGAAAATGTGTTTATGCAAAATCATAAGATGACATTAGAATAATTCATAGTAAATTTGACAATTATGAATGATGCTTCTGGTTTGATTGATCTTCTTTTATACCCTACCTACAAGAACAAACTTTTAAAAAAATTATTATTATTATCATCTTTGTTACAAAATATTTTTTTTTAAATCACTTAAAAATAATCTTTCCTTTTTAAGTTCCCAAATTCATAGAGAGAAAGTGATCTACAATTTTTTTTTATTTTTTTTTGTAAAAGACAGTTTATGAAAGTGTAAGACTTATGTATGGTTGTGATGCTATGGTGATATATTTGAATATATATATATTTTTATATGTATTAAATATATATATATATAAAGATAATGCAAGAGGATATTAAAAAGCAGTAAGGCATTGCTGGTGGGCAAGAGTTGAAGGTTCTTTTAATCATTTGGTGATGCCAAACTTAAAAGGGTGACATTTAAAGCTAACGTTCACTGCAGTAGTTTTGACACCCTTCTATCTGGCATGTACAGTTATTTCACATAAAAAAAAAAAGAAAAGCTCAAAAGAAAGCCAGATTTCTAAATCCAGACAAACAAATGCTGTGCAAAAATATATAATAAGGGTTGCTAAGTTTGCGGTCGATGAGAAAGGGGAAAAAAAATTAATTTGAGTAACACAAATAAATTTACTAAAAATATTTAAAAAATCATCTATCATTAATGCCTGTTAATTTTAAAAAATGATTTTTTTTTTCCAATGTTGAAATAAGGGATGATATAATGAAATGATGTTCCATTTAAATAATTTTAAAAATTATTTTGAAAAACAAACTTATCACATGACTTGATTTTTTTAAGCAGATGGGGAGCAAATGTTCACTGTATTAAGTGAGGTTAAGGAAATGTGTCAGCCGAAGTTATTAGTCTCTTTTGGCCAATGTGAAAGCATACATTATAGTAAATAAGCATGGATTAGAACAAACAAAAAGGTACACATGACTTAGTGTTTTGTTTTTTTTATGTGGCAATACAGTTAAACACAGAGATGGACACCCTATAAAAACAAATTCATTACAAAACTGTACCAATCTATTCCAAACAGAACAGTTCTACTCTTCTCAGATACAAAGATGGATTTCAAGTTTTTTATATCAACCCATAAGATCTTCCCAGATTGGTGAAAAGGAGCAGAGCTTGTTTAAATATCAAATTTATTTTGAAAACAATCATAAAAATTCTTGATTTAAAACGTGTTTCAGTGTTGATTAAACCCTTTAAAGCCTCGACTCCAAAATTTTATTTCAAAATTTTTTAATCACCTACAAACCATGAGAAGGAAAAAAATGAATAATAATAATAAAATCAACTTCAATTTAAGTCAAAACCTTTTAAAATATTAATCATCAATAATAAATGATGTGTGTTTTTTTTTAATGTGTTATATATCATGTGGTTCTCATGCTTCCTTACAAAGCATTCAGAAGCTGGAACTAAAACCATGATAAATAAAATAATAGTAAATTGAACAAACTAGTATTTTATTGAGACTAATTTAAATAAGATTGTTGTCAATTTTGAAACAGTGCAGAATATTACTTCATAATTTTCATGGCACATAGAAATAGGGGATGCTTGTATGTAAAGCCCTTTAAAAAAATATATATATAATAATAGACATTTTGTTTTTCTTTCTACGAAAAAAAAAACAACAACTCTGGTTTTGAAATTAACTTTAAATAATCTCACTGTAGCTATCAAAATCATTTAAAGCAGTTCAAGTAATTCATTTATTAATCATGTTTTTTAAGGAGGAGGAGGAGGGTAAAAAAAAAAAATAACACAGGGAAAATACCAGGGACAGAATGATGACAGTAATATCAGACTACCATCTGCAAGTATTCCCCAAGTGCTAAACTGCTGGACTACTCACTGCTTATCTCCTGGGTCAGACTCATTCCAAGTTACCTTGCAAATATCTACACAGGTTTCTTCGTCTATAGCACACCAACTGTATTTTATATTATGTACAACTATGTAGCTTTTCCGGTACATCAATGTTTTCGTGTGTAAATTTTAAATAGAACTAAGGCATCAGTTGTTGACATTTAAGAATTTAATAAAAATCTGTCTGCTGTGTCCAACCATCTAAAATTGAACCATATGAAAATTCTAATACTTGCTTTTCACTCTAAATATCCCTGAAGTTCATACAATTTAAGGAGCAATTCATAAATATTAACCCAAGTAAGAATTATTAAAAATTAGAAAATTACAAAAAAATTATTTAAAAATAAAAATAATCACCCAATCTCTCTTGTATAGAATCATACAAGATGTTACACAAGCTAAGTGCCATTAACAGTTACTGCCCCTGTTGATGACATTGGAATGAATTGTAATCAAAAACAAAAAAAATTGGGGTCGCCACAGTTGTTTCCCCTCCCTATTCGTGGCTAGGAAGGAAAACTTTTTATCAAACATTCTTTTTCTTATGGGCAAAACATTCATTAGCCAAAAAAAAAGATTTGAAAACAAAAAAAAAAAAAAACAAAAACAACGAGATATCAGAAACTTTGCAACATCTTCCCATTTGTCGCCACAGTTGTTTCCCCTCCCTATTCGTGGCTAGGAAGGAAAACTTTTTATCAAACATTCTTTTTCTTATGGGCAAAAAATTAATTAGCCAAAAAAAAAGATTTGAAAACAAAAAAAAAAAAAAACAAAAACAACGAGATATCAGAAACTTTGCAACATCTTCCCATTTTAGCCAAAAATATCAAGCAGACAACGTTACAACACTAGCACAGCCAATACTACCGAACAAGAAGGGCATAGGTTGTTATAAAGATAGTCACAGCTAAAACATAAAAATAAACATGCGAGAGCCCATGCTGGCTGTGTAAAGAAAGACCGGAATTTTCTATGCCGTTTCCATCCGCGATGACGCCTGAATTTAACTTGTCACCGGCTTGTATGATTTTCTCGTCGGCAGGAAACCCATCCGACCCCGGCATTTCGTCTTCTGGATCTTTAGCTGGAAAGAATTGAAGGTAAAAGCTTGTAAAATAAATTCTATTCAAAACTCAACTAGCTGCTTCTTACATTTAGTTCACTTTTTTTTTTTTTTTTAAAGAATTTGTAATGAACTTAATATAAATTATACAATTCTTATTTTAATAACATTATAAATTTATTTATTTTTAATCAAGCAATAAACCTTTTAAATTTCTTAAAATCTTCTTTATTAACCCCCTTCCCCAGACACACACAAACTGAAAAAGAAACTATCAATATATTATTATTATTTGATTTAATAGAAACACTTGCGAAACAGTTTAAATCACTCATTTACTTCAACTGCTCTTCAAATGAAGAGACAAAAAACAATCCTATTCACTTTACCTCCTTTGTGAATATACTGCAATGTTTGTGTCCACAAGACTGTCTATTTTTAGATATCAGCATTTTAGAAAAAAATTCCTTTGTAGAGTTCATCTTTAGAAAACAAATTTTTATCTTACTAAAACTTGGTATCAAGACCAAACCCTTCTGCATAGTGTTTTAATGAGCAGTACTAGAAGGACTACTGTGTTTACCAATTTAGGCTCTATAAAACTATAGCGTAAGAGATAAGAAAAACAAACCTGTGGGCCTTCTTTGAAACAAGTTACTTGTGGTAGGTATCTCAGTTGTGGTTGTTGTTGTGGTGGTGGTGGTGGTGGTGGTTGTGGTTGTTGTCGTGGGAGGAGTGGGGAGTTTTGTTGTCGTCACTTCGGCATTACCGCCAGATGAGCTTGGGTTGACAGTATCTGAAATCAAACGTTAACAGTCATTGTCAAACCACATTTCTAAGACATCATCAAACCACATTTCTCAGACATTATCAAACCACATTTCTCAGACATCATCAAACCACATTTCTCAGACATCATCAAACCACATTTCTCAGACATCATTAAACCACATTTCTCAGACATCATCAAACCACATTTCTCAGACATTATCAAACCACATTTCTCAGACATCATCAAACCACATTTCTCAGACATCATCAAACCACATTTCTCAGACATCATCAAACCACATTTCTCAGACATAATTAAACCACATTTCTCAGACATCATTAATCCACATTTCTCAGACATCATTAATCCACATTTCTCAGACATCATCAAACCACATTTCTCAGACATCATCAAACCACATTTCTCAGACATCATCAAACCACATTTCTCAGACATAATTAAACCACATTTCTCAGACATCATTAATCCACATTTCTCAGACATTTCTCGGACATTTTTTAACAACAATTTATTTTCTTGTGTATTTGGGGCCCTCTCTAAATGACGTAACTCTATTTTCGTTGATTTCACACCCAACCCCCCTCTCCAATGGTCACAACTTTGTAACACAGATTGAGTGTACTTTTCCCACATTGTCACAAATTTACCCTTCTAAATGCATGATGTAATTTATGGATGGCTCCTTTCTCAACCACCCAGCCACACCTGGGGCCCTGTTTATTGTAAAATACACAGGATTATGTTCTGCTAAAATGATCTATTGATGAAGCTCTACCGGGTTTTACCGCCCACCCCCCCCCTCCCCAGACCATAGTTAAAAACTTCTGTTATATTTTCTGTGGCACCTCTTTTGGGAGAGATTATGAATATCTATTTTAAGTTCTTAGAAACACAAGCCTTTTCAACATACATAATTCTCTAGTAACAATGTCCATCCCTAGCGTTCAACAGCGTGCAAAATAAAATTCCCGATAACTGCGCTAAATGATGTGAAATAAGATATCGCAAGTGCATTTGGTGCGTAATATTTTCATTTGTTTTACGGCAATATTTGGTGTAATTAATTTGTAGTACAACAGGGGGCGGGACATTAGAAAATTAATATAGTTCAATATAGCTTACAGAAAAGTGTGTTGGGGGGAGGGGGGTGTTAAGGGGAGGGGGGGGCACTAATTGGTAATCTTAAAAAGTGTGCCACTCGTATGCATGTTTTTTCAAGTAACTTTAGAAGACTGCAAGTTCACGCAATGCAGCGGCCAATTTTTGGCGGGCCATAGCTATTATTTTAAATGTATGTTTGTTGTATTAATATTTGCCTGTATATAATAAGCCTTTTGTTATGTATTATGGATAACCTAATCATCTGTAATAGGATTCAAATAATCACAAATTTGTTTATGCATATGACGATCTCCTTACTTCAATTATGATAACATAACACATTACCCAACCCAACGGTGATGCACCATCGTCTGACGAGACGGAAGGATGCCGATTATTTTTTTTAACATAACACAAACAGATGATGTCACAAACAGATGATGTCACAAACAGATGATGTCACAAACAGATGATGTCACAAACAGATGATGTGTTTAGGATCTGTAAAATTCTTAACATTTTTATCATTTTATTTATTTTATTTTTTTTGGGGGGGTGTTTTTTTTCTCTCTACATTCTACCCACCTGGAACTACTTCTTTATCAGAAGACCGCACTCTCAACACCATCTTCATCTGATTGTCTTTGCAAGCTCCTTCATATTGGTTGTCCAAAGTATTTTTAGTTCCACTGGACGTGGCTTAGAAAATTTAAAAAAACAGAATTATCTTCTTTTTTTTTTTTTTTAAATTTTAAAAAAATCATTTTTCTTAAAATTCTTTAAAAAAAATATTTTTAAAAAATTTTTTTTTTTTTTTTTTTTTTTTTTTTTTTTCTTTTGTTTTTTTTTTTTCACTGGACCTGCCTTACAAAATTTAAAAAAACAGAATTATCTTCTTTTTTTTTTTTTTTAAACTTTAAAAAAATCATATTTCTTAAAATACTTTAAAAAAAATATATTTAAAAAAAAATGAATAGCATTAAAGTAATTAATATGTCATGGTTTTAAAGGCCACATCAACTTTAATGATCAAAATTATATGAAGAGTTCTCTCAAACTGTAGACTTAACATCTAATATTATTTTTAAATCAAAATCTAAACGTCTGTGACCTTCAAGAAAATGCGTACCGCGGGAGAGACTTACATATAAAATAGTAATCCTTGCCCAACCGGAAGTCGGTGATGCCAGGGACGGGCTGGAACTCAAAGATGAGCAGAGTGAACGACCGTCTCTGCTCCGGGTTGGAGCAGTTGAGGATCAGGTTGGACTTGGCTGCGTCGTTGATGATGCACACGTTGTAGCTGTACTGGTCAACCTGTCGGGAGGGTGGTGGGGGTGTTTGGGGGGAGGGGGGGTAACGAAATTGTATGATTTCTAAAATGTCAGAGGGGGTGGGGGTGGGGCCTTACACAACAAGCGTAATCGTCCTTTACTGTAAGATGTCACAAGATTTGTCACAAGATTCACTCGTCCTTTCTATTAAGATGTCACAAGATTCACTCGTCCTTTGCATTAAGATGTCACAAGATTTGTCACAAGATTTGTCACAAGATTTATCACAAGATTGGTCACAAGATTTATCACAAGATTTGTCACAAGATTTGTCACAAGATTCACTCGTTCTTTGTATTACGATGTCACAATATTTACTTAAACAATAGGCAACAGAACTTAACAACTGTGATTTTTTTTTTAAAATTGTATATGATTTAAATTGCCAATCTACAACTACTACACATATTCTAAGTGCTACTCACCATGTAGATGAGATAGTACTCCATCTTGTTGCTGGGCGTGTTGTCCGTGTAATACGGACACAGTATATCGAGACTGTCGCCTAGATTCACGTCGATCAGATGGTTGGTGTTGCTGCTTTGGAACCTGCAGTGACAAGAAAAAGATAAATGGTCATCGTTTGGTCAGTTCAAACACTGCTTTATATTCAGCGGTTAGAAAAATAGAAACAAAAAAAAAGGGGGGGTAGAGACTGATTCAAATATGAATTGGCTGGAAGGACCAAACGTGTGATACAAAGATATCAAATTTAAATGGCTTGTGTAAATGATACAATAAATGATAGTAATAAAATCCCCCCCCCCACCACCACCACAAAAAAAAGCCATTATTCCAAGAAGGTTAAGAATAGGACACAAGGACAAGTTTGCTATCGCCAACAATTAAGTCCATCTCAAAACCCTTCCAATGTTACATTTCTTTTCTGAAGTTAAAAGGATGTGTTTTTTTGTTTTTTTTTAAACTTTTCGTCTGAAGCAAGATCTAAAAATAGTTATGGTAGGTTTCACCAAACCGATCAATTCCTATCATAAAATGACATGACTGGTATGCCCTCCCCCACCCGCTCTCCACATGAATCCCCCCAATGCCTTCATTTGTCACACATCTGCATAATTTATGCCCGAGAAATATGCGGAAGGATTCAAGACGGACCGCTGAAGTGACGTCGAGACGTCACGTGATTGACCCTCGTTAATCTTACTTTTTGCCCCCGACGTCAATCAAACAGGTCCTAATGCTTGGTAATATGTCATTACACGTCATTCGTGATACATGTCATTCGTGATGCATGCCATTCATCACAAGGCAAAAGTTTTTTCATCTTTAAAAAAAAACAAAAAAACCCAGCCCTCGGCCCACTCCTCGAGATATTGCTGAAACGTCCACGAAAGATGGAATTTAAAACGAGCGAAATATGTGCATACGATATCGGGGATATCCACAACACTTCCATCTTTACTGAAAGAGATTGTCATCGCTAATAACAATCAATTCCCCCCTTACCCCTTTTATAACTCCTGCACTGTCAGTTCTCTCCTCCTTTAACAAATTTTTTCTCCCTGTTTCTAACATTAAAAAAAAACAACAACAAACAAACAAACAAAACAAAAAAACATAGAAAATTAAAGCACTCCATGGTAATATATTATTTAACGCAGTAGCTGACCAAGATGGTTAACATCGGGTTTCCCCCCCCCACATATATTTAAGTTTCGTTTTTTGCACTTCAAAACAAAAAAGATGACATATGACATATGGGTGGAGTTTGATGACTGATTAGAATGAAAACTTGTGAAAACCCGGATGAGGGCAGCAGTGAGTGTTGATAAATTAACACCTAGAGTTAGAGACAGACTTACAGTAAGTCTTGGACATAGGTGGGGGGGGGGCACAGAAATTACTTGTACAAATATCATACTCTTTGACCTCACATCGCAACCCCTCTCTCTCTCTCCCTCCCTCCCCCCTCTCTCTCTCTTTCCAACTCACACACACAAACTCTCTCTCACACACACACACTCTTACGCAAAAACAAAAACTGTTTGCCACTAGAATATCTCGCTGACCTTGACCTTGTACACGGCCAGTAAACCACATCCAATGGCATGTTATATTTCTGCTCGTCTTTAATATATTCCACGAGGCCCGGAGGAGGGGGGTGGGGGGTAGTTTGGAAGGGAGGGACACGTTTTCTGCATACATTGAGGGCTTTTTTTACGCCCATTTCTTTCTTGGCGGATGGGGGCGTGCATACTGACAATTCATTCCCTTCCCATCCGCTCTACATCTCTGTCGCGCCTCTTTCTTGTAGGACGGAAACGATGTCCGCCTGCCCCGAGAACACATATGGGGGGGGGGGGGGGCAACGTCGTACAATACTGAATTGTCTTATTGGTTCTGAATTGTCTTATGGGTTCTGAAGTGTCTTATCGGTTCTGAGTTGTCTTACGGGTTCTGAATTGTCTTATTGGTTCTGAATTGTCTTATGGGTTCTGAAATGTCTGATGGGTTCTGAATTGTCTTATGGGTTCTGAAATGTCTTATGGGTTCTGAAATGTCGCATGGGTTCTGAATTGTGCTATGGGTTCTGAATTGTGCTATGGGTTCTGAATTGTGCGATGGGTTCTGAATTGTGCGATGGGTTCTGAATTGTGCTATAGGTTCTGAATTGTGCTATGGGTTCTGAATTGTGCGATGGGTTCTGAATTGTGCGATGGGTTCTGAATTGTGCTATAGGTTCTGAATTGTGCTATGGGTTAGGGGTGTGCGTTAGCGGGTGTGGGTGGCATGTGGAGCTTGGTAAGCCCTGGTAATTACTTATGTCAATTAAATGCCGCCCGACTCATCGATCAGTAAAGATGGGAGCAAAATTAGAGGCCTGCCGAATTTCGGTTTCGGCGCTGAAAGTTGCCATATGATCATCTCGACCCTCTCCGCAAGTGTAGGTACGTAATGATTCCTTCTAGATTACGGGTTACACACTAATGATTAAAGTAGTGTGGGTAGTGTTGAATTTTTTGTTAATTGCATCGTTCCCCAAATTAGTTGTTAAATCTTGTGCTTGGTTTTATATCTTTCGGTTTCGATGTGAGCCGAAAGTCTCTTTAAAGCTTTCGGTTTTGACTGAAAGTCTTTTTCTTTTTAACTTCCGGCCGAAACCAGAAAATCAGATTCGGTCGGTCTCTATGGAAAATGGGAGAGAACTTAGTCATGGATATGACGTCACGAGTACTGAGTGAAGACGCAACACTTAATGCAGAGCCCCTGTTGAGGTCATCAAACCACCCCCCCTCCCCACACAGCACAAGGATAACCTTTAGATGCTGAGCTCTAAGCTCAGAGTTCAATGTCTCGACCGCATCCGTTTTCATTTTCAAGCCAAAAAAAAAACAAAAAAACACGAGGGCTAATTAATGACTTACATGATCTGGTCAGAAGCTGGCGACTTCGTGTCCGGCTGGACCTAAAACTACAGGGACCTAAGACAGCGGTCGCGCGGTTATACCGATTTGTAGTTATTGGTGAGGGGGGGGGGTGACGGGAGTGGGGGTGGTGGGGGGCAGGGAGTCGGAGCAGGGGCGTAATAACTTCTCAAACCAACGCTGGGTGGCCGGTGAATGCACTCTAGGTGCCGCGCAATGTTATTTGGCTACCATGACTCAGTTGTTTGGAGGGAGGAACAAGAGGACGATGGGGGAGGGGGAGGGAGGAAGAGGAAAGAAGTGGAGGAGGAAAAAGAGGGAGTGAATCAGTAACAAGAGGGAGTGAAGGAGGGACAATGGGGAGGTGGAGAGTGAGGGGTAAGTTGGGTACGAGTATGCCCAGTGTAGACCATGAGTGGAGAATGGGGGGATACACTTGAAGCAATGGGCAAACTGACCACGCTATTGGGGCCGTGTTATATGGAGGAGATGGGGGGGGGGGGTTTTATTTTTGCATAATGCCTTGGTCGCAGAATCACTTAGTAAGACAGCGGGAACATTGAGTGGGGTAGGGGNAGACCGGGCCTGCCCTAATTAGCATATCACGCTCCCTGAATACAGCCCTAATGAGAGAGTGTTCATTAGCGACAACATTTCGGACGAGTTGCGCCCCCTTTTCTAATCCATCAAAGTTGCACTTGAGGAGAAAGCGAGGGTCGGAGAGGGGGGAAAGGAGGAGGGGGTGGGGGGGGGGGGCTATGGGGGTAATTCTGGCATCCGACAGTGAGAAGTTCTTTCATTTTTATTTGGACTTGGCTCTGGTTATTTATTGAGGGCCGGACGCGAGATGGTCCCATTTCTTCTAAAGAGACATAATGACTTTATTTGGCCGTATCATAATGTAAATACTTAGTTGTTTTTTATTATTTCCATCACTCCTTATATTTTTATTTGATATGATCAAGTCTTAATGTTAAGTACATGATATATTTGTGTACACCTATAAGGGTCCCTAGATTATTTCCTAATGTCCTGCTACCGTGACCCTTTACTCGACCTCGTCTCCCATCCATAACACATCCTCGACACACGCACTCTTCCTGTGCCTTCCACCACACACTCTTCGTGTGTCTTCACCACACACCCCTCCTGTGTCATTCACCACACACACACACCCCTCCTGTGTCTTCCACCACACACTCCTCCTGTGCCATCCACCACACACCCATGTGTCTTCCACCACACACCCATGTGTCATCCATCACACACCCATGTGTCTTCCACCACACACCCACGTGTCTTCCACCACACACCCCTCCTGTGTCTTCCTCCACACCATCCCCCTCATTTCAACAGCCCTCCCCGCAGCTCCTCCCCATAAATCCCCGTGAGATATTGGATAAAATATGTTTATTGCCCCCCCCCCGACTCCCCAATAGAGGGCGCGATGGTCGCGGCATCAGCTGTTTGGGTATTCATGACTGAGGCAGGCACAAATTACGTGCAGCAGACATGGACACAATTTTGGGGGTGTGAAAAGGGGGGGGGTGTATAAAAAGGGGGGGAGGCGGGCAGATGGAGGAGAACAGAAGATGGGTTAACAAAAAAAGGACGAAAGGATGACGGCAGCAATTGAATGGATGACGAGGACAGCAGCGATTGAATGGATGACGAGGACAGCAGCGATTAAATGGATGACGAGGACAGCAGCGATTGAATGGATGACGAGGACAGCAGCGATTGAATGGATGACGAGAAGAAAAACCAAAAAAAACATGACGGACGTGAGAAAAGAGCGATGGTAAACAGAATATAGGACACGTCGAGGTGAGATCGAGAGATGCATGCCACGCACGGGATAGACAGAAGGCATGTTGAGGGGGGGGGGGAATGATAAAGAAAGAAGAGAGAATGGGGGACATGGCAGACATTTTTGGAGGGAGGCAGAGAGAGGGAGGACGGAGAGTGACACAGACAGTCGGGGCGGTGGCAAACAGACGACACACAAGAGTAAAATCGTAACCACCACAAAAGTGAGACACTGCACCACTCTTCACGATATTCAAATCAAATTAGCACAAAGTCCAGACGAACCATTGACCACACGGCGCCGAAATGTGACAGCCGGAAACAGGGCAGGGACTCACTTCTCTTCCCCGACTC